CTGGTGATGAAAATGAAGAAGAACTCTTCAAGCAAGAAGCAGAGGACACAAGACCTTTCCACATATTGCAATCATTCCAGTCCTGTTGCCAGCAGCTGCTATCACCCAGGTCTCCCAGTGCAATGTCTATTCTAGTTCTTTTATCCCTCTGGCTCTATTGCTCACTGAGGCAAGTAATTAGAGTATCATATAATAGAGCCAAGTTTCCAAATTAACTTTCAATATGGTTGTCTCATTGCCAGTGGCTAAAACAATGATAACAATAGTGGTGGTGGGGGGAGAGATCCATATTCTTCCTTGCTAAAATAGAAACTGGAAGCAATGATTCATTAAGAACCAGATGTGACTTCCTTATTCTAAAAGTACCCCCCCTCTCTTTTTTCTTCTATTGATACCCAAGTCACTGCAATCTGTAGGACACTGATTTTTTTGTCCTGCAAATATTTTGTCCTATATACCCTGCCAGCCCTTACCAGTATGGCCAATAGGAAAGGAGTCTGAAAGTTGTGTAGCAATACATCTGGACAGCCAAAGATTCCACTCTGTTGCTTAGGGCAGGGGGGTAAAATTGTGTTAAATAAGGCAACTTTAAAACAAATTAATGCAAGGAGACACTAACCTGAAATGTGTTGGTTAGTCTTAACTACAGTGGAGACACCTTGAATAGTCAATCAACAAATAGATAAATCTTATGGAATCAATGGGACTACTCTATTTGGGATTAAAAGTAGGATTTGTACCACTAACACTATTGTGAAATGGCAGGCTTTGGGGATGGATCAGTTTCAACAAAAAATTGCACATTTTTGTGAGCACTTTTTGCACAATTCTGTAAAATCTGTAGCACTAGAAAATGCAACCAGTGCTACCTTGTAGTAAAAGTAGTAATATTGAATGCCCTTTCTATGTCTTCATGACAAATTAACTTGTTTTGACAGAAATGAAATAAATGGGATATAAATTCAACACATTTTTAAAATAGGGCATATCTGGAGGAGAATGATTAGGATCCTAGAGGATGCTATGAGGAGAAATTTTGAATGGGCCTTTTCTCATATTTTCTTATTATATTTGAAACTTATTTCCACATATATTAATTGTTAATGTATGGCCCTTCACACTCCACTGCAAAACTTCAGCAGATTTCATATGATGATTGAGGGGCAAAACAGATGGCCCTGATAGGATAGCTTGTGGCCACTTCTTTGCTTGCTGGATCAGGGCCACGGCAATTGCACACCACCACCCCAATCTAGTGTTTTTTTCAGCCTGAAAAGAAGTGGCAAAATGCCACTCCTTTTGGGAGTAGAAAAAAGCTGCCCTTTTGGGAGTAGCATTTTTTCTGTGTTTCTGCAGTGTAGCATGTCTAAATGCCATGCCACAGAAGTGCCCCGATGCTGCCCACTGTCTGGCTAGCTGGCCAACATGACAGTGCTTTGGGGGTGGAGTTGGGGTGTGTGGTGTGCAGCCCTTTTGACCAATCTGTTTAGCCCCTGAGTTTCAGTTTGCATATTGGTATACAATGGCAAGGTTGGGTATGTTTGAATTAATATGATAACCAAATTAATTTATGCCCTATCCATATGTTTGCTTTTGTATTGTTTTAATCTCTTGCAAACCAGCTGGAGAACACTATGAGATGTAAAGTTTTTAAAAGAAAGAAAGCCTTGTTTATCCATTGATCTTATTTTATTACTCCTAAAATTTAACTCCTACCCCTTTAAGTTTTACCTTTATCATTTATTTCAGTGAATAGTTAAAGATACCCAGTTTAAACATTAGTAGCATGATACCAGGGATGGTTTCATTTGATGTTAATGATGTGTGATGGATCTACAAAGGGCACTTGTTTCTTCTTACTCTGCTGGATTATTGTCAGATCCCGTATTTGTCAAGACTAAATTTCATGCCATGATTTTGAAAGTTCAAATCCATTTGTGTATTCATTCACCTCTCTGAATTTTTTTTAAACAGAAATAATTTAAATTGAATAAACTGTGTTAGCCATGGACCATTGCACAATTCATCATGTAAAATATCCTAAATAAGAATTTTAAACATGAAAGAATGTTCACGATAAAATCTACATAAATACAAAGCAACCCATTCATCAAGAAGAATTCATGGTTTTTTTTTTAAAAAAAAGAAATAATTTTAGTTCAGTGTTACCCACACTGTTGAATGAATTGATTGATTCTTTTTGTAACAGGACAACCACATTTTCAGAAGATGCATTTCCTTAAACTCACCAGATCTCATAGTATCAAATATATCTTGACCAAAACAGGAAAATATAAGAATGACAATGCACTTATCAAGTAATTAGGCTACAAAAGTATGTAGTATAACTTGGACTGAGTTAACATAGACATGAGAATTACTATCTGCTAATGTAGTTTTAGGATGACAAAAACTGTACCTGCAGTAGATCTACAAAGATAAACATCAGTGCATATACCCAAACATCTGAATTGAGACAATCTATTTGTGAAATATTGAAAAAAGATGACCAAGTAATAGAGAAGGAACTTTGAATAAATAAATGAAAAATGTAGGCTGAAATTCAGTTAGAGACTCATGTCTTCATGAGTGGGCTAATGTTTTCAGGAAATAGAATAGCAATATCCCTATTCAGAAAGAGGCTGAAATAATATTACTACATAAGGGAGCCACCAAATCAACCAATGTGATAGGATCAATGTCCATCATGGTTCAGGCACATCAGGACCAAACTGATGCACAGTGGGACCCATGCACAATGGAGCCAATGCATATTGGGATCTCCTGATGTGCAATGAAACATTGGCTAGGGAATGCTAATTCACATTGGTAGAACCCAATGCATATTAGGACACTCTTGCCAGTGCTCTGATAGTGCATCTTTGTAATTCCCTGAGAGCTCCTTAGTGTCTCTGATATGTAGCTAAGTACATTGGGCCCTTGGTATCTACGGAAGTTTAGTTCCAATATGGATATCAAAATGGGTGCTCAAGTCTGATTAATGATAAAATCATGCTCCTTATATCAAGGTTTGCTTTTTGAAACTCATATATTTGTAAAAAAATTCAAACTGAGGAAGGTTGAATCTGTGGATAAAATGTCCATGAACATGGAGGGTTGTCTGTATAAGTAAAATTATATAATGTAAACTGTAATATACAATTACAGTCATATTCTTTAAAGCCCAGAAAGCAACATCCATCCAATAGATTTTATATATGACTGCATTTCATCATTTCATACTACATCAACTCCTAGTAAAGCAAGAACAGAATTTTGCTGGACTCCAGAGATATTACTGTTCCAAGCTGAAGCTTAAAGGATATCTGGAAAGCTTAGTTTGAGTGCATGCTATTTTATGAAAAACAAACCCATAAAGAAACATTGTGGAAACAAGAGCAGAATTAGCCTGCCTGCAAAGCATCAACAACGTGAACCTAGGAAGCTTGGGATATTGTCTCAAAAATGGTGTGAAACCAACATATGGAAAGGAACAGTAGCAGAAAAGATGCTTTGTACATCTCTCAGTAGGACCTGTAAAGTGAGGATGGATTGAGGAAACTAAAAACAAATAAATGAAAACCTGGAGAACCGGTGTCAATCAAGCGTTGAGAAACCCTCTACTCCTTGATCTCTTGGGCCTCAACTTCCAGAAGCCCCAGCCACATGGAGATTGCATGAGTTGTAACCAAAAATATTTGGACAAGTAAAAGACCCCTGTTCTAGCATGGACAATAGTAAACTAGAACATAAGGGGCAATGTTCTGGACAGTATAAAGCAATTTCCTATGTTTCTAGTGAGCCCCTGTTGATGGATATGTCTAGCTCCATCATCTGAACAAAAGAATGAGACATAAAGAAGTTTTTTTCTCCTTCTTCAGTCACTGGTTTCAAAGGTGTTCAGATCACCAGCCAACTCTTGGCCCTCATGTTGTGATAGTAGACATTTGCAAACAGCAAAGACTATGAGGAGGATTCTTCTAGGTCAAAGGAACAGCAAAGCTATTTTTTCAAGGTGCATAAAAGAAGGGATGGTGGGCTCCTGGGACCCTCTGTAGTAGTTGATGAAGCAACAGTTCTATCACTCTAACAATAGTTACATCTTTCCTATCTTCAAATTATCGGTCTCAGCTTCTGATAAAAAGGGGGGGGGGTCGAGTCCTGGGCAATGTTCTATCTATGTATAAACTAAGCGAACTATGATTTCAGACCTCAGACTTTGGGAGGCTTGTAAATACAAGCAGCAAAAACCCAAACAAAAATAATTTTAAAATGAGCTAGGCTTTGGAATATACTGTGGCAATAGTTTAGGCAAAACTATGGAGACCTTATAAAGTTGATGTGTCTCAATAGTCCTGGGCCTGATAGTTTACAGGTCCAGAAGACCTTGCCCCCTACTAAGCATGATGTGTAAATTTTGTTCTGGAGTAACAGAAGTTCAGCTAGATTAGCGATGGAATCCTTAATTGCTTCATAAGGTTTGTCTACATGATTACAATACTCCTCATTCTGTTTGAACAGAATGCAATCCCTCCATATGTGATGCAGCAAAATTCTTACCTTTTGCAGGGAGGTGGTGAAAAAGCTTCTCAGACTCCACAGCAAAAGGCAAAAAGTAAACAATGAATGCACAAAAGTTTGAACTTAGAAAAATGGGATGCTAGTCTAGCTGCTCCTACTTTAGATTGTTGCAACTCCATACAACAGGCAAGGTATACAGCAGTGCCTCCGGAATCCCTTCCAGAGCATGTGGGAACAGCAAAACAGAGAAAAAAGAATAGATAAGATTGACTGACCAGCTATATTGAGCGTATTAACAAACACAAATCTATAAGTGTGGCCACCAAAAGGAAAATCATGAGGCAACTGGGGGCTGATGAAAGGGAAAAAATCATCCCTGTATTATGGTTTTCTTGGCAAGTTTCTTATGAGGGGTTATGCCATTGCCATCCTTTGAGACTGAGAAAGTGGGTCTTGTCCAAGGTCACCCAGTGTTTCATGGCCAAGTTGGGAATCAAACCCTGGTCTCCAGAGTTTTAGTCTAATGCTTAAACCACTGCACCATGCTGGCTCTCCCTATATACATGTTGGGAAAAGATTTCAAGTGGTCTCTAGAAGGATCAAAATATTTTTGGTTATTTATCCAAGGCCTGTCTCACCACAGCTACATTTTTTTTTTTAGTTTTGAAAAAACAATGCATACTGAAACAAGTTGAACTGCTCTTCTTTTTTTGTGGTGTAGGGACCTATCCCTATTCTTTCCAAGTTATGTCTCCCTCTGATACCAACATTTGTTACAGAAGTAATGCCTAAGAACACAGTTAACTTTGTTAATTGAGGTATCCCTATAAATTATTTCTCTGACCTATCAGAAAATATACATGTCACACTGACATTGTTTTACCTTTGGCATGTCTAAAAGGCTGTACTGTGTGTGTGTGTGTCAGTATCTCTCTCTCTTTCTCTAGTTACATACTACATCCAGCTGTTCAGATAACTCAAAAAGCAATCACAATGCATATAAATAAGAGATATACATGGACTCAAAAGTGACTTTTTCTTTTTGTTTTAACATACCTCACTATAGAAAATTAGAAAACCAAACTGTAAGACTGAAAAATAAGGGGGAAACATAAGAACTACAGTTGGCCCTCCATATCCACAGATTCTACATCTGTGGATTCAACCATCCCAGCTTGAATATATACAAACCTTTATTTTGCCATTTTTATACAAAGGACACCATTTTACTATGCCATTATATATGACGGGACTTAAGTATCCACAGATTTTGTTATCCACAGTGGTGGTGGTGGTGGTATGTCCTGGAACCAAACCCTAGTGGATACCAAGGACCCATTGTCTCTTCCATCAGGGCTAGTTTACACTAATTGTGGCTCCACATGCCTCGTGGGGGCATGAGCTTGTGTCTTGGAAATGTGAAATTACTATTTCTGAGGCCTGGGCACTCCTTCCATGTATTTCCTCACCATCTTCTCCCATCCTTTTCTGGCACCCCATTTCTGCTCTCTTTTACTCTCCTTCCATCCCAGATCACCCTCAGATACCTAAACTGATCATTGCAGATAGTGGTGGCTGATGGCTCCCATGTCAATGGGATGGTGAATCCATAGTTGTTTTTTGTCTGAACCTTAACAGAGCTATTTGGGGAGCAGAGCTCAGCATCTTGAATGGCTTCTTTACATTTTGGACTACAATGTGAGATCTTTGAGCTTCCTGGAAGTAGATTCACAGCCCCACTGACAAGGGAATCCACACTTGCAACTGCTTGCAGAGGGCTTATTTAGGCAACCTGTTCCATGAAATGTTAATCTCTGCTTCAGCAGAAACTATAATGCAGGGCATGACTCAAACCTCTTGGATTCCCCTGGATCTGCCCAGCCTCAGCTAGGGAAGAAAAGATAACTGCCTTCCTTGGATTGAGCCTGTCATCTTAACATGCTAAAGATGTCCTGTAATGCCTATCTATGCCCTCAGAGTCCTGCTCTGATAATAATGCTGACAGATGTGAGGATTTATCTTTCTTTGAATTCCACATTAACAGAGGAGGTTTGCTATCCCCATGGTGGTGTGACTGAATGAAACCCATGATATTCACATGGCAAGGCATCACTTGACTGTGTCTGCAGTCATCATCTCTGTCACTGCACAAGGGACAAACTCACACCTTTGAGCAAATTTCCCTGTGTGCCAATCAGCTGATTTCTACAGCTGAGGGAGGCACATTGTTTAGGATCCTCTTTCCTTCTCTTTTCTTCTTCTGTGTAAAAATGAGAAAGAGCACTGAATGAACACCACCAGCAACTCCTTGTGCTATTGCATTGTTAACCTTCACAAGAGAATTTTGTGTAGCAGATCACATCTTTAGCATTCTCCACTGCACCTGCTTAATAACAGGGATTGTACAGCAGTATACCATGAGGGGAAGATTCCAGTTAGCTTTCAGAATGCTCAAGAGATTTGCATTTTAATGACTGTATTGTTTCTAGGAAGTGCATACTTCATTTTAACACAGTTTAAGATTGCTTGCTTAAGTTTGACAAGCAATTTCCATGACACTGACAGAGGTTTTAAAAACATTAAACCCCATTGAGGTGTGGGGGAAAATTGCCAATAAAGGTGAAATAAACAGATGTTAACTTCTTCTGTCCATGCATGATCTTGTTATCTTTTAACGGAGAGCTTTTGATTTAACAAGCTAGATCTTGGTAATTTATAGGACCTTTACAAACTACTGTAGCACTAGGATCAGAAATTCATCACTTAGAAAACTATTTTAGTGCATTAATATAAGGATCTAAACTATGTCCCCAGTTCCACTGTTTATTTGTTGTAATAGGATAAGATCAGTAAATTTCTTTTGTTAAGGATTTTTGTGGGCTTTTCAGGCTGTGAAGCCATGTTCTAGAAGAATTTCTTCCTGACATCTGTGGCTGGTATCATAAGATATCTATCAGGTCAGAAGCCATTGAAATCCCCAAACACCTGGACAACTTCAACAGGAAAGAAGAAACCCTGAAAATAAACAAAGTTTGGCTGCTAGTCCTGAAAAATACTAAAATCAAGACTCAGCAAATGCAAATGAACTTCACCCAGGAACAGGGGTTTTCCCAGAAGACAATCGACTAATTAAATAGACACTAATCCTTCTCACATATCCTCCCACCCTGAGGCCTTACCATTTAACAACAGAATAATACACAGATTAACATGCAAATCACATCCTCTCAACCAAGAGTCACACAGCATACACATCCCCCTCATTTCCATGCCAGCATTCCATGCCAGCATTCTCTGAAGATGCCAGCCACAGATGCAGGTGAAACGTCAGGAAGAAATTCTTCTAGAACATGGCCTCACATCTTGAAAAGCCCACAACGATCCATGAATGCCATGGAAAGCCTTGGACTTCACTTTTCTTTTGTTACTTTCCCCAAATGTGTGCAGAGGCATACATTTAAATTGTGTGGATTAATTAAACATATCCTCCCATTGACTGTAACATAAGCATTTTTTTTATCCCTTTGAAATGTGCATATTTTTCTATGTGCATTTTTACAGGTGTGTACATTTTTATATATCTTCCAATATTCATCGGCATGAAGATTACAAGGTTAAAACTGATTCTGGTTGATCCACCAACAGTCTGTGAATTGCCAATACAAGCTTGTCTGGAAACCTTGCCCTACGAGGAACGACTTAGGGAGCTGGGGATGTTTAGCCTGGAGAAGAGAAGGTTAAGAGGTGATATGATAGCCCTGTTTAAATATTTGAAAGGATGTCATATTGAGGAGGGAGCAAGCTTGTTTTCTGCTGCTCGAGAGAACAGGACCCGGAACAATGGATGCAAGCTACAGGAAAAGAGTTTCCACCTCAACATTAGGAAGAACTTCCTGACAGTAAGGGCTGTTCGACAGTGGAACACACTCCCTCGGAATGTAGTGGATTCTCCTTCCTTGGAGGTCTTTAAGCAGAGGCTGGATGGCCATCTGTTGGGGATGCTTTGATTTGGATTTCCTGCATGGCAGGGGGTTGGACTGGATGGCCCGTGCGGTCTCTTCCAACTCTATGATTCTATGATTCTATGATTCTATGATTCTAACTGCGAGCTTCATTTGGAACTCCAAGATCCCCTTAGTACAGATGATCTAAAAATTGATAGAATCATAGAATCTTAGAGTTGGAAGGAACCATAAGGGCCATCTAATTGAGCCCTGCCATGAAGAATACACAGCTAAAGTACTCCTGAAAGATTCTCACTCAACCTTAGTTTAAAAACCTTTACAGATGGAGGGCAAACTACATTGAAAGCAGTCTATTCCACTACTGAACCGCTCTTACAGTACAGAAGTCCTTCCTAATGTTTAGGTGGAATATCTTTATTGTAAATTGAATCCATTGGTTCTGGTTCTAGTCTCTGAAGCAGCATAAAAGAAGCTTGTTCCATTTTTGACAAGACATCCTTTCAGATATTTAAAGTTCAATAGCATGTCACCTCTCAATTTTTTCTTCTCAAGGATAAGCATACTGTCTTCCTCAGTCATTTCTCATAAAGCTGAGTTTCCAGACCTTTGATCATTTTCCCTCCATGGATGTGTTGCAGCCCGTCAATATCACTACCTGAACTGTGGCGCCCAGAACTAGATACAATTCCAGGTGAGGTCTGAACAAAGCAGGATAGAGTGGCACTATTAAATAATAATAATAATAATAATAATAATAATAATAATAATAATAATAATAATATAATTTATATCTCACCCCTCTGCAGTGGCAACCTGGGTGGGATATAAATAATTCCCTTGTTGTGGACACTATACTCCTATTGATGCAGCCTAGAATTTCATCTATTGTTTCATTTGCTCCATAACACTGTTGACTGATGTTTATTTTGTGCTCTACTAAGACTCCTAGATCATTTCTACATGTATTGCTTATAAGCCATGTATCACTCTTCCTATATTTATGTATTTTTCTTCCTATATGTAGTGCCTTTTATCCCTGTTAAAATTCATTTTGTTAGTTTTGGCCTGGTTCTCCAAACAGTCAAGGTCATTTTAAGTTCATTTTAAATCCTCTAGGGTATTAGCTCATCTTGTCCCCAATTTGGTGTCATTCATAAATAAGCATACCTTCTATTCCATCATCTAAGTCATTTTTAAAGAAGTTAAACAACACTGGGCCCAAGACAGAACTTTGAAGCACCTCAAATTTCACTTTCAGGATGAAGAGCAACCATTTGTGAACACTTTCCAGGTTCAATCTGT